AAAAAAGAAACAGAAATATTAACTACCGGAGCCATCATTTCCTTTACCTTTTACTCCTTTCTGCTCCGAAGTGTGATGGCATATTCCCTGAAGCACACAACCTGTGACTGTGCCAGTGCAGTCCTGTGGCTGCTGCCAAAGCTGCCTTTGACTTCAATAGCAGGTCTGTCGGTCTGAGGAATCCATGATCAGACATGCAGTGTCATGCACAATAAACTACTGATAATAAAGGAATTGAGCTGATGCAGACAGAGTGCCTCTGTCTGCAGCATTTAATATTTTCTGTTGTTGTTATAAGGAACCGAGAATTCCTAACACACGAAGGAAATTTGGAAGAAAATTGGGACTGAACAAGCCTGATGCATGGAAATGGTCTTCCCTTGGTTTTCCAGACTTCCCCAGCTTTCTTTCTTCACTCTTCTCTGTATAGCAGCCACACAACTCTAACCTGACATGTACCTAAAAATGAGCAGAGATAGGAAAACTCACTGCCTAGATTCCTCTGGAATGATCAGAAGGCAGCTCGGGGTGTGGAGTTTGGTGTCTAGATTGAGCTTATAGAAACTGGGTCCTTATGGAGGTTTTATTGTGAATTAGAGACCTTCCAGTCCATGGAGTGCTCACCACTTTGTTATTGTATCATCACGAAACCTTCAGGGAGCAGTTCTCCAGTTCTTACTATTTTAAGGCTGTGCGGTTTTCAGATTGTCCTCCATCCTCTGAAATCCCCAGTACATGCAATGTAAGATGACAGCTTTTGATGAACCATCATTATATCTTGGCTGAATACCCAGCCTAGTGAATCATGAAACTGCCAAATCTTTTTATTATGAACAATCTCTCAAACTTCTATAGGAATAATGAAGAAGACAGAGATAAAATACCTGCTTGGAAATGAACAAATACCTCAAGCTCCATATTTGCTTTCAACAAGTCTTGTGACACACAGGAACTGTTTGGAAGTGGAAACTAAAAGAAATGCTTTCAGGTTTCTTCTTCTTTTCTGTGAGAATAGAGAAGTTGAAGTGGCATCTCTCCTGATGCATGGTAGCTGACACACAACACGCAGATCTCCCTCTCCAAAGCCATCTCCAAGACCACCACAAGGATGTAATTTCCAGTCTTTACCCAATGTCCAGGAACAAAATGCCTGGGATTGAGCATCACATTTAGTTTGATGAGAAAATAACAGATCTGAGCAAGTCCCAGCAGATGCACATACTCTCACTCCACTGGCTCTCAAATGGCAGCCCAGCACCAAACTTCCCTATGGTTTTTGGAAATTCCACACTGAACTCCTAATTCTACTTCCACTCTCTTTCATGGACAGAAATGTGGTAGTTAGGAAAGGAATGGGCTATCCCACACAGCTGGAAAGCCTGGTTAATACTCCCTTGTTGGGATGTGTGATGCAACAATATCTGAACAGTTCGACATGAAGCCTCCTTGGATTTAGCTGGAGGTTTTGAATCTGGCAGAACATGAACAGGGCCACTGAGGTCTCTGTTCCATCTCTTCCAGTGCTTGACTACAAGAAATGCAGTGCAGGTACTGGGGAACACTTGATATTTCAAACTGGACAATGAGCAACAGCAATACCATGCTTTGGAAAGGATGACGTACATTTATCTTCTGCATTCCCAGTGGTTCAAACAGACTAGGTCTAGAAATTTGGTTTCATGATGCATAAAATGTCAGTATTCCTTTCCAGTTGGGTTGGTCCCAAGGAGAGAATGAATGCTTCTGTCTGGCACTGTGTCTGATCTAATGGACCCTGTTGGATGGTACTGGGTTGTACAAGTCACTCATAAATCAGACAATCCACCTGTGCATAAAGAGGAGATGACTACAGCTCCATAGTCTACTGGCTTTCAAAGACTTTATTTTTGTGTGAAGGGCTGACTCTTCACTGGCTTACAGCTGTTCTATTTAATGAAGCAGTGCATTTATCCACCATTTCACTCTTGTGGTTTCAAGCCCTAAGACCTAAAAATTGGGGTTTTTCTAGGATAAAGGAAAAAAATGGGTTTCTGTAGGATAAAGGAAGCATGTTTTAATTTTTCAGCCAGGACAGAGGATTATCAAATGTGAATGTAATGAATACGTAATTTCAACTGCATATACAGCTGTATATGCCATACACTCTATGAATACATTTCAGTTCAGAGCTCACAGTATTTCATATCCAGGTCTGAATTGTGCTGGTGGTCACCTCAGAGACCTGGTTTTGCACCTGCTGCTCTGGCATTATTCACCATTCAGCAACTGACATAATGCTCTGAAACATCACAGGAAATTTGAATTTTACAGGGACATCCAAAAAGAACAGAAAGCCAATGTTATTCTGTGAGAGGGGAACAAAGAAGGCAAGTATTTTTCTGTTACACAGTGCAAGAAAGTTACTTGTCATACAGATATGTGTGTCTATTTTCAGCAAAATCCTTGATTCACATAAACAGCAACCCTGACCTCAGTAATCTGTGCTAACACATTTGTTCTCACATAGACCTGTGCATTTGTTCCTTCACCCAGGCATCCATGCAGACAAAACCACCATTCCCTGTGTGTAGCCACAGAAAATGGAGAAACAACAGCCAACCAAACAACATGATCCAAACACAAACAGCATAAATCAAGCACAAACAGGCTGAACCAAAAACAAACAGACTGAACCAAAATGCGTAACTTGTGGAAACAGTCATAAATATTTCTTTTCCCTCTTCATACAATTCACATTGATGTGTATTTTTCATAAAAATTTTTAAGTCATATTATCTGGTTGAATTTAAAGCTGTATTAAGATATGCTCCTATTTAAGAGTCCTGCTATTGATTACTACTTTTAAAAAAAAGTAGTATCTGTTCAAATGTTTCTTTCTGACAGAAAAGCATATACATGTGGTGTGTAAGCACATACAAAAAGATGGAAACATATACATACACATACATGTGTCCACATCTGAACATATAGCCACACATACAACTGTTTATTTTTTTTGTGATTTTGCAAGTTCATCATTTATATTTAAAAAGAAATATTTTTAAACAAAGATCAGTTGCTTCCACATGGCTGATACTGAAGATTTCTTCAACAGCATTAAGTGGCATTAGCTTACATTAATCTTACTTACATTTGTGCTAAACTTACTACATGATGTCAACTCCAATAAGAGTAAGTGACAGAGCTGAAGGAGACTTTGCAAGGTGAAATTGTGGGAAGCAACATAAATAAGCTATTTTTCACTACAATGAAACCTTTTAATTGGAAGGGATTTTGTAAATTAAAGTAAGTCTTACCTAAAATAGTTTGTTTTCCAACAAAATATTTTGTTCTTTGACCTGGTGTTTATCAATAGCAATTGCAGGTAACATAAGACTTTGCTGCAGAAAAATTGTATTAACAGAATTGCAGAATTACAGACATGGAAATATCCATCTGTAAATACTAGGATTTAGCCAGCTGATTTCTTTTGTAAAATCTTTGGTACACTGTAATTCTTACACATAATTAATTTTTGTACTTTCTCATCTGGTTATATTATGTTCAGCTAATCTAAATATTTTGACTTTACATTAGTATTTCTATGGCTACAAAACTATTTTCTCTATAAAATGATATGTCTGCAGAGTTCCATAAGGCAGCTTTACTTTGCTTTGAAATACAGGAAAATAGTTTAATACAAAAAAAAAAAAAAAAAAAAAATTAAAAAAAAAAAAAAAAAAAAAAATGCATTCTCAAATAACAGATTATGCTTTGATGTAGTTTTATACATTTAAAAACATAAATTTGATCACCCTAATGCCTAAAGAAATTCCTCTATTCCTCTTTCTAGTACCAGTTATACTTAATACATGGTAACAAAAGCTGTCAAGTGCTGTTTCTTGCATTTTTAAAAGCCAAAAATAAGGGAAAACTCCTGAGATATAATTTAGTATAATTCTGAATTTCATGCATGACTGTAACTGCTTTTTATTTGAAAGCAACTATACTAAAAATACAAAACTACTTAAAAATCTGATATTCCATCAAGTTTCTATTGACCTTTTTTTCAACTAGTAGCTGTCAGTTCTCAGAAAAAAAAAAAAAGTCATTAAAATGCTTCAAACATTTTCAGTGGACTGAATTCCTACAGAAACCTTTTAATTCAAATATTTGCAAATTTAAAGATCAATGTGATATTTTAAAGTGACAGCAACAGCAGCTCCTAACTTCAGTAAGAAATTTCTACTACATGGATATCCATAATATAAGGAATACATATAAACAGAGAATAACAATGTGAGCTATTCCAAACAAAAGTTCATCGATTTCATAAAAGCAATTAGACCCTACGTAAGTACCTAAAACAGCCACGATGCTCAGTTGACCTGTCGAAGTTGGAAGGATGGAGAGCTGTAGCCAATAAAAAGAGCAACTGATGCTCGGGAGTTCTCGGCGAGAGAAGAGAGCCGGGAGGGAGGGAAAGGGCGACTGCCGGGGGGGACCCGCCTCCGCCTCCGCCTCGGCATCGCCCCCGGCAGCCCCGCTCGGCACTCCGCTCGGGGCACTCTGCTCGGGGCCCCCCGCTGCCGCGCCGAAGCGGGCGGTGCACGGCCGGGGCCAGGCACAAGTCAGCAAAGGCCACTCCGTGCCCTCACCTGCTCCCCGGCCACTCCCGGCAGGTCCCGGCAGGTCCCGGCAGGTCCCGGCCGTGCGGCAGCGGGGCGGCTCCGGGACCCCCGCGCAGGCCCGGCCCCGCGGGCAGCGCAGCGCAGCGCAGCGCCCACGGCTCCGGCGGGCGGGACGGGCGGTGCCGCTGCCGCTCCGCCGCGCTCCGCAGGGCAGCGGCCGCGCCGAGAGCCCCGCCCGGCCCCTCTGCCCCCCGCTCACCTGGGGGTCCCGCCGCAGGCTCCCCGTGGACGGGGGAATCTGCGGCGCAGGGGTCCCGCCGCGCCCCGTCCCTCTCCCAGGATCCCGCTACGGACAAGTGCCCGCGGAGCCCTCACCTCAGCTCACCTCACCTCACCCCGCCGCCGGGGCCGCCCGGCCCCCCGAGAGCCGCGCCGCAGCCCCCCGCCCGCCGCCGCGCCGCCCCAGCACGCCGGCACCCTCCTCCCCGCCGCGGCTCCCCGCCCAGAGCAGACCCCGGGAAACGCCTACCGCAGCTCCTGCCCCCGACCCCCGCCGCCAGCCAGGCGTCCCCCTCCCCCGGGAGCCGCCGCCGCCCCGCCCGCGGCGGCCCGCAGCCCTCGCCGAGCAGAAGCCATCCCGCAGCGGCTGCGGGGAGCAGAGGGTGGACGGGATTCCCCCTTGTAACGGTACCATGAACCGAGGAGTTTCTTTCAAAGTTGGGGGGGAACCCACACGCACGCACGCCGAAATAAACCAAACAAAACCATCTCCAAAGCCGCCTTTCCACACTTGTCCTTTAGATCATTTGACAACGCTTTTGAATAGAGGGCTCTTCTAGGAGCTGCAGGTATTGACAAGAGCCGCTTAAAACGAAAACTACTGCTTCGTAGAAAATACTCGCAGGATAAAAATTAGGACTTTGAGGTATGAAACGATTTGTGGCACAGCTGGTATGTAAAATAAAAACATCAAACGTCTTGTCATAATCAAATATACCCTAAATCGGGACTAGCGACATTGCTTTTGAAAGATGTCGTTCCATATAAATGCCTTTAACGCCTGGTAGAAAATTTTTATGAACATGTTGACAAATGAAATAACTCAGGTTATTTGATTAGTGTCCATGTAATCTAAATATGGGCTTGTATCAGGAAAAGAAACGTCAACCCTTTAATGCTTTTGAAAGGATGGATTTTCGCTGCAATTGAAGAGTAATCTTATACTACTAATGAGAGTGAACCACTCTCGCTGTGTTCTGTGATACAGGGATTATGGAGGATAAACTCAAGAGTTCCTGATCTCTTTTAAAATTCGGCTCGGCCCGAACGAGCAGCATTGTTGAGGGCAGCGGGGGTTTGGTAGCTGCCCAGCTGCCCTGGAAGCTCTGCATCCTACTGCCTGCCCAGGAACAGCTGTGCCGGTGGCATGTCCTAATACTGCTTGGGAAACATCGGCCGATTTGGGATGCAGGTGTCAGGAAACTGGGATGAACAATTCCCACTGCACTTCATATCGCAAGAATTCATAATTTTTGTAGCCTTCATGCAAATAGCGACAGAAGGTGTAAGAAGGGACAATTAGGTCACCTGCCTTACGGAGCTTGAGGCCCTGTGAGACGATGCGCTGAGGTAACCTGTGCCCCAAGGAGGGTGAGATGCGCACCTTACGGCCAGCTCTCCTGGCGCTTGGTGTGATTTTCCTTCGAGCAACACCCGACCAAATGGCTCCGGGCGCCCAGGCCACCTGCCTGCCCTCTCCCTCCTGACCCCACTCAAACCTTGCTCGAGCTTGGCTCCGGACAGGCCTGCCCGGGGTGTGACAGCCACAGGAGGGGCTCAGGCCGATTGGAAAACCTGTTTTATTTGAAACAGAAGGCTCTGGCTCTGTAGAGGCGCCCGCAAGCTCCCGCCGCGCCCGGCCCTCCTCGCAGGGGATGGAGGAGCAGGGAAGGGGCGCTAGCAAAGACGCAGCACCAGGTTCCGCAGGGTGATTCTGCCAAGCACTGACCGAGGCACAAGGCAGCCGTGTCCTTGCTTTTGCATACGCCCACCTAGCCTTAAAACGTGCCCGCTTGCCGGGCCCTTTGCAGGAGGCAGACGAGCAGCCCATCTCTCTTTGCAGAATCAGAGGATATGTTAGAGCCTAGAGAAGGGCAGTGCACATTATCGAAAAATAATAATTTTTTTTTTTTCTCGTCGGTGCCTTACTTTGCTTTGGAGACTCCCTTGAAGTCTGCCGCGTTATTCTACGATACACTCTGATATTCACGAGGCACCAAGGGAATCTGACGCTATCAGCGTTTTTATTTCGTTTTGCAAGGCTGCGGTGTGTGCGAGGAAGGACGGCTGCCTCGGGCAGGGGGTGGCGAGGGCTCCCGGGGACCACGCGCGCTGCGGACACTAGTGGGCACCGGCGAGGCCGAAGCCCGGCGGCCGGGAGGAAGCGGGGGATTCCTGATGCTCAGCAGCCGTTTGCTCATTTTTTGTGAATGTCGCCAGGGAGGATGTGGGTTTTTTCTATTTCTCCATGATCTAAGTAATCGCTGGGTCTCAACTGGCCAGCGCTCAAAAAACCTTTCAAGTGGTGAGCTCAAGCAGTACATTCAGCTTTTAGCTGTGCATAGTTAAACCAGGCAAAGAGGCTGAAAACCGGTGGACCCTCTAATCTTTCCTTGATAAGTCCCCGACCGCCGCCGCGGTTGGCTGTGTCTGAACTCGGTCCAGCACAGGAACAGGCAACTGAAATCGAGTTGCCTTTCCCGAAGTGCAAACTTTATTTCAGACTCGCGGGCGGCAGCCTACACCGCACAAAGCACGCCAAGGCTGCTGGAGGGGTGCGGGGTCCCACGGGGGCTTAGGGCCCGCCGGCTGCGTGGGGCATCGCTCCATTCCCCCACAGAGCCGCACACTCGCGGCGGAGCGGGCAGCGCTGCCGTGAGCCGCGGGGAAACAACGCGGACGTCCCACTCCCGCAGGGCAGCGCGCCGAGCCCGCCTGGGTGGCCATGTCCCCCGCGGGTGCCGCCTTTGTCGGGGGCAGGAGGTGCCACTTTCCGCTGCTGGCACGCAGAAGCGGCTCCGGCTGGAAAGGCCCCGGCGAAGTGCTGGGTATTCGGGGGCTGTGTTCGGTGGGACAGCGCGCCAGCACCCCACAGGGGATGGATTCCCTCCTCCTTGGCTCTCGATGGAAGAAGCCTCGCCCCGAGACAGAAATGTCTAGCCCCAACTCTGTCATGCAAAGTGACTCTGCTCGCATCCCTCCCCGTGGCTCTTTTCATTAATTAGGGGCTGCAAAGACTGTGGGGGAGGGGCAAGCGGCTGGGAGCCACTAATTATTCAAACTTTGGAGACAGCATCCAGATGAGCTGGGCAATCTCTTTAGGGCAGCGCTTTGTAACCTGTGTGTATCAGGCGGGGAGTGATTATGCTACTTTGCAAAGCCTCCATTAACAGATTTCACTTCATCATTACTCATCGCCCGCAGGATGTGTCCAGACTCCAGTGTGAGTAAACCAAGATTTCCACGAAGAGAAACAATTTGCTGTGGCACGAGAGGGCCGTGAAAACCTGCCCCTACCCCCACCCCCAAACAATAATCTTTTTAATTGCAGTCAGCTCCACACAGATTTTTCTTAAGTGCCCTTTCGCGTTGTGCCCCCACCTCTGCTTTGTCATAGGTTTTTGCCACGACGCCCATCTCCTAGTGCAACTTTGTGCCTTGGGCGCTGCCGCCCCTCAGCTCTGACCTCCTCCGGGCTCCAGCCGCTCCCGAGCCTGCGGAGAGAGGCTCAGCAGGAGCGCAGCGATGCTCCGGAACGTGACCGGGCTGGCCTGGCCCCGGCCGGCCCCCCTGCCCGCCGGCGGCGGAATGCCCTGCCCGCGGCCCGCGGTCCTGCCCGAGGGCAGGCCGAGAGGGAAGGCGGCAGGAACGCCCGCCCGCGCCCCGGCGGCGGGCAGTGCTCTCTAACCTCGGTGCCTCGCTAGCAGCAGCCTTTGCCATATCGGTATCCCGGAACAGGAAAGTCCCGGTTCATCTTGCCCCCCTAAGATCCTGTCTCCCTCCTCCCGCTCCCCTCCCTCTGCCCCTTCCTGCCTTCGGCCCGTGTGAGTGCAGCCTCTTCTCTCCTTGCGGGACGGGGCTGCAGCGCTGGGGCCGCCGCCGGGGCGGCAGGGAATGGGGACTGGGCTCCGGGGACCACCCGCCTGGCCTCAGCCCCCTGCCCGGAGCCAGCGGGCCGGCGCCCCGCGGGCAGGGCTGCCTTGAGCCCCCAGGGTCGAGCTGAGATCCTGAAGTTAGTGATTTCTCTTTTTTTACTTTGATTTTTTTTCCTCTGCTCTCGGTGCTTCCGAAGTGCCTGTAAGATTTGCAGAGAGAGAGAGAGAGAGAGACTGTGGGAGGAGGAGGAATTAAGGGAAGGGAAAAGATGGCGAGTTGCTGGAGCAGTGTGGAGAAAGCGGCATTTTTGTGCTGCCTTTTGCTGGCAATGGGGAGCCTAATCTGCTGCGCTCGGCCGGAGGAGGAGGAAGAGCGAGAAGAGCAGCGCTCCTGTCACGGTGCCTTTGATCTCTACTTCGTTCTGGATAAGTAAGTGACAGTCGCATTTAAAAACGTTTATTCACCCTTCAGTGACTTCTTGCAGCAGCAGGGATGTTGTTTCTTTCCCTCGTCTTCCCGGACGACTTCTCCTGATGCCAAACATGACGTGTGGGTCTCATTCCTTATTTTTGCTCCCCAAAACTTGCTTATTTCCCAAGTGGAGCATTTAGGGGAGCGTTGTCTTTTATGCTGAGTTAGTTGTGCATGCAAACCTGGGAAATTGGGTTGCTTTCAGGTTGTGGCATGTGGGGTGTGGGCTGTGAGTGTTGGATTTGAGGGGGTGTTGGACAGTGCCCACATCGTTCGTGGAGTTTTGTGTCATGACCTGGGTGGGCTGTGTGCAGAGATGTCACTTGTGGGACTTAGCAGTGCTAGGACCATGCAGACTTACCCAAAGTTAAGACCAGACTGCTTGACTGTAAGAATTTATAAGAACAAAGTTTTATAAAAAACTTACTTTTGCTCAGCTTCTTCAGAGTTGTCTAAACCTGTGTTTGAGTAGCATCTATTAAAATAGGTTGTCAAATACTTCTCTTTAATACTATGTCAGCTGAATTCAGATATGGTGGGGGATATGTTAAAGCTCACGTGCGTAGGCTTGTTTTAGCAAGCACTAGCAAAGCAAGTGGTAAACTGGTGCACCCACAGGTGTTTTTCAGAAGGTACAAATTTCTCTTTCTTTTGGTGTACTTGTCAAGCTCTGGCTTGACAGAGGATTAAAGCCAAGGGATTAACTCAAAGAGTAACTTGTTAGTGTCCCACTGTGTGATGAGTGTGTTATCTAATATGTTCTGGGTTACCTATGTAACAGGGTATTATGA